AGCGCAGTGAGCGGCGGGGCGGCGCTGCCCCCTAGCGCCGGGGTGCGGGATGCCGGGCGAGGAGGAGGACGAGGCCGAGTCGGGGGCCGGGGGGGGCGCCGCCGCCCCCTCCCCCTCGCCGCCGGCCGAGGAGGGGGACACCCGGCAGCGCTACGAGGAGCTGTGCAGCAGCCTCAACATGGACGAGCGCGCCCGCTCCGAGGCCTGGCTCAGCTACCAGAGCATGAAGCGCAACTATACCCTGGAGGTGAGGGGCGACGGGGCTGGGGGGGCCGCGTGAGGCGGCGCGGGCGGGGAAGCGGCCGCGCCGAAGCGACCGGCCGCGTCGAGGCGACCGGCCCTGGGCGGACAGCCCGGCGGGAGGGAGAGGGTTAAGCGGGGGGGAAGGGGAAGGGGAAGGGGACGGCCCTTGAGGCGCGACGGCCTCTCCCTCACACCGCCCGGCGCGGAGGCGCCGCCCGGGCGTTAGCTGGCAGGCGGCCGAGGGCACGTTCCACGCGCGCAGCGCGGCCTCGGCCGGTCCCGCCGGCCCTCGACCCGCTCGGGAGTCGGTGGCGCCTCAGCCGCGGGAGGCTCCGCCGAGGGACGTGCCGTGACCGCGGCCGTCGCGCCCCCCCGGGGGAGCCGGGCGGGGCCCGGCCCGCCGTCCGCACAGAGGGCGGCCGCGCAGCGGTGCTCTCCAGCTCCGAAATCGGGGAAAAAAATGATGATCCCGCGTCTCGGCGGTGAAAAGGCGTTAAAAATAAAAGCCGTCGTACAGCTGTAGTCTGTCTACTGTCGGCTGCTTAGCGGACGAACGTAACGCGGTCACCTCGGTGGACGTTTAGCGGTAGCCGCTCAGTTGCCCGTCTAGATGCTCTCGGCGCAATTACAATAAACGGGGTTTTGCGTGAACGTGGCGCAAAACTTCGTGGATGGCCGAAGGCGTGCAGGTTTTGTAAGATCGTTCTTTAAAACGGTGACATAAAGCGGCGCACCCGCTTCGTTTGGGAGAAGGCTTCTACCGGGAGATGCCTTTTACCGGGTGGCTTTTTTAAAATAAAGGTGGCGCTTACGATAACAGCACGTCTGTCTAGAGTTAATCGGAATTTTTTAGGGCTTCCCTTTCGTAACCAGGCGGCTCTCAACGCAGAGCTAAAGGCAGTTTTGCACAGGTGGAAGGCGGTTAGTCCTGCCGTGCCTGGAGCTGCGTGCGTCTGCCGGAGGAAGGAAGTGTTTTGGTCTGCCAGCACCCCTGTCACACACGCTGCTTGTAACCATCGGAAACGGGCTGGGAAGCTCAGAAAGAAAACTTGAGTTTTCCCCGAAGGTGTGTGCTCATCTGGCCCCGTGATACTATGTAGCCCAAGAAACCCACAGCATCGAATTCAGACTTCTGTGCACCAATTTTTACTGTCCTTTTGCTATCAAAACGTTATTTTTTAATCGAGAAGAGAGAATAAAATTTGTAAGGTTTTCGTTTGAATTAATTTCTGTCTTTAGGTACCAGATTGAGTAATCGTTCTGTTGTGTAATACAGAGAAAAATGGAAACGATCTTTTTCTGTTCCCGCTGTCTCTTCAGGGCAGAAGAATGTTTTGATAGCAGGGAACTGTAGCTTTTATATTTTAACTTTTTTTTAACACCAAGGCAGTAGGAAATGTTATTAGGGGAGAAGAGCAACACTAAAAATACAGTTAAACTTAGGTTCAGCGGTGAAATTTATAAGGTTAACTAGTAACTATGTAATTCTAGTTTTGACACAGTTTGATGTTAAGTATCTTTTTAGCACCGGTTTTTTCTTGTAGTTAAAAACACAAAGTAGCTCAACAGAACTCTGAAACAACGAATCAACTTTCTCACTGGTTGAACTGGATTCATTTAGGAAACAGTTCTATGGGTGCATAGCTGAAGACTACGGTTTTCTTTTCAGTGAAGGCTTTTAGACACCTGATGTTTTATTTCACAGGGGAATGATCTGCATTGGCTAGCGTGTGCCTTGTATGTGGCTTGTAGGAAAGCAATTCCAACTGTGAGCAGAGGGACAGCTGAGGGAAATTATGTATCTTTAACCAGAATTTTGCGCTGTTCAGAACAAAGGTAACTTTTCTTTTTGCTAATTTTTCAACACTTACAAAATCTCAGAGACTGCTTATCAGCTTGTGAAATTTAGAAATTGAGAATAAAAGCTAAATGTCCGTCTTGTTTCCTGCTTTTAAAGATAGAATTTATATCACTGGAATCTTTGTGTTATAGCTCATGGCCACAGAAGTAGGACAGTTCCATTTGTCATTACTATGCTGTAAAAACACTGGTTTTCAAAATCAGAGATTGACTTCCCTCTCTCAAAGGAGAAACAAACCAGTTCCTGAAGAACAGTCTATTTTTGAAGAGTTGTACAAAGTATGACCTTCTCACATGAGAAACCATTTTTACTTGGCTGTGAAAATATTCACACAATTTATCCTTTTTTTTGGTAAGAAGACTTCACTTTTCACATTTCCTGCTTTATGAAACTAAAGTGATGTCAGAATCTGATAAATTTGAAATGTTTATGTCCATAAAGCAATGAAGAAAAACTTCCTGAAACAACCGACTTTATTTATTAGCAATCTGATTGTTTTGTAACAATTTAGTAAATTGGCAAAACAGCAAAAAAATTTTCTCATACACTTTTTCTTCCCATCTCCTTTACTGTTGGAGCATTGCTATTGGTTTAAACAATACAAAAGTGTTCCTTTAAAAACGTTGGGTTTTGGGGTTTGGGGTTTTTTTTCCAAAGCACAAATTCAGGGAATTGAACGTGGATACATTGTTTCTGTTATCTGGGCTATCAAAGACAAATAACACTGAAAAAGTACATGTAGATAAAGAAATGAAAAATAAACAAAAGCCAAATTTATGAAGTGAAATTTATTGAAACTTAGGGTTTTTTCACACTTTGTAGAATTTTCTTAGTATTGCAGAACTCAAGAGTTTGTTAATAAATTATTCAGAAAGATGAGGGAAATCTGATTATAGAGTAATCTGACTGTTGGAGCTGATTGTGTCTTTGTGAGGAAAAGCCAGAACTGTGAATATATATTTAACATGGTCCTGAACTGAGGATATAAAAATATTTTGCAAGCTGTCTGAGCTTATCCTTGTTTATGGGTGAAAGACTGGCTCTGAGTACATTGTCGTGTTTGCAGGACTGTCATTTTGTCAGTAGTTTGGGAAGTTGAAATTGCACTTTTCTTGAAAATGTATTGTGTATTTTTGAAAAAAACCCTCACCCTTTCATATCTAACCTGTTCGGTATTTTCAGCTTGATCGAGTTTTTTAACAAGATGAAAAAGTGGGAAGACATGGCAAATCTACCCTCCCAATTCAGAGAACGAACTGAGAGATTAGAGAGAAACTTTACAGTTTCTGCAGTAATTTTTAAGAAGTATGAGCCCATTTTTCAGGACATTTTCAGATATCCTCAAGAAGATCAACCTCGTCAACAGAGAGGAAGAAAACAGAGGTACGTTTCTGTTATTTCCAGACTGATTTTGGAGCATTACTGTTACAAAAATATAATGAAGTTGCTTGGTTGTTTTAGGTGTGGTTTTGACTGTATTTTCATAGTAGTTCTTTACAATATTGGAGTTGGTCTGTCTGTCCTTGCTCGCAGTAATTTTTGAATCTTTTTTTCAGTTTGTCAGATCTGACAGCATGCAGAAAATCCCAAAGCTGCTAAATTTTTATGATTTGGGAGGCAGGGGAAAGGGGAGAGATTAAAGTCAGCCTGTAGACAAGAGAAATATTAGTGTTTCTAAGATTGGAAAGGCTGGAAGAATTTGATCATTTTACGATCTGTATGGCCTCAGTAGCACATAGAACAACTCAGCCTGTTTCACTGCCTAATAAGTCCCCTAGTTTTCTTCATAGATGCAGATCTTCTGGATATTTTACTTTGTAGTAGAAGCTTTATTTCTTTTTTACTGTTCGTATTAGGAGTGCTGTGAAAATTAAGTGCTAGCCTTCTTTTCTTGTTATTCTGATCTTAACAAGATTTCATCTGTTTGTGTCAGCACTTAGCATGGCTTTTGTTTTCTCCTGGTAGTTCGTAAGGATTGATTTATTCCCATTCATTATTTCTTTCATCTTCACTACTGTGAAGTGCTATTGTTTGGTTGCTTTTATGGGGGTTTGGGGTTTGGTTTTGGGGGTTTTTTTGTTTGTTTTTTTTTTTAATTTTCTTTTCTTTTTTCTAATATTTACAGGCTATTTCTTAGTTGGGTTTTTGGCTTTTTTTTTTTTTTTTTCCCTTGATGTACTTGTGAGCATCACTTAGTGGTATTTGTAACCAAATGTATCTGAGTCTATAATAAAAGACAGGATTTTGTTGGAGAATGCAAAGGGTGAGTAAATTAGAATTGGACTATAGATGGAATAGAGTTATGTATTGAGATGAATATTTGATGTTGAAATGAAAAATATACTGCATATATAATTCCATTATTAGAAGAGTAAACCCTGCTAGTTGGTTAGCTTGGATGGTAAAATGTAAAGTAATTTTGAAGATTATGTTGGAAGATGATACTTAATTTTTGTGTAAAACATATGTAATCTTTACGTAACCTGATGGAGTAACTAAATAAGAAAATAAAAGATTAAAGCTGAACAAACTACTGGAGAAATGGAAAAGAACATGGCCTCACAATGAATTAATTTGGCCTGAATGGAAGAATTTCCAACTTAACTTCATAATACTGAATGAAATAAATAATATTAAATACAGTCTTACAGAGCAAGCTATGCACTCTAGAAACAGAGAAAACCTGATAAAGACTATTTACATTGTGCAAGTACTGCTTGTTTTTGAGGCTCACATGCCTGTTTTACAATCCATATTAGACAACTACACTTTAAAAAACCTAGAAGGAATGTGATAATATTGGACAAAACATACCTCTATGCCATTTTTTTTTTGCTGCTCTAATGTTCTCCTGTCTTGGGGATGAGCTGCAGTATATTAAATAGCACTTCCAATGATATGTTATATGGAAACAAGGAATGATGCTGTAGAGTTATAAAAATTGGTGCTAGGGAAGGGGTTTTTTTGTTTATGGGGTTTTGTTTTTGAGTTTGTTTTGGTTTATTTTGGTTTTTTTAATCCACACAGTAAATACTTGAGCATAGTTTCTGATTGGGAGGGGAGGGGGGGAGTAAAAATATTTCAATGAGTTGATTATTTTGTCAAGATTTTCATGTTACCAAGAACACAACCCAAACTTAGTAGCCAGAAATGTGAAAGTAGGAAGGATATTTAGGAAAACCATCCAGTATGCTATACGTGGCAGTATTGAGAAATAACAAATCCTCAGTAGCTGCAAAGCTTTTGATGTAAGAAGGGGCCTCATGAATGAGTTATATTTTATCTGAAAGCATTTTAAACAAAGACCAGCAGAGGAACTTGGTTCTGCTAAACATTTAATATATTTCAAAATTCTGTAAATTGTATAAGATACTATATAAAATGGTTTATATTAGTACATAGATGACACTTTTGTGAACACACAGGTCTGAAAGTCTTGCCTGTACTGAGTATATTAATATCAACACACTGTGTAATGTGTGCCTCCAACAACATCTGTACATGCTTATATTGCTCAGAATGCTTATGAAGAAGGAATTACAGCTCTGGCTCTCAAATTATTTCAACTGACTATATGTACCATTTGTTGTATAGAAAAGCAGAAATAACATTTTCTGTATATTTTAACCTCGGGTATTTACCTGTTCTTCAGAACTAAGGTCACAATTTTACCTTAATAGAAAACATTTAGGCTAGCCATGTTTATAATTAAGTTTACAGTGATTTTCTGTTCAAGTCTTGGCCTATTCCTAATGGAATTTGCTGGGTTAGTCTGCTGTAGTGACATTTGAATCATTACATGCAGACTGAGACTGGGGTTCCACTTGTGTCCGCTAAACCAGGGTGCAGCTTTCTGTATTACCTTCAGTCAGGTTTTTGTGGGAAGGGTTTAAGATTTTGGCCACATGATAGTAATGCCTAATTTTCTTTTAGAATATTTGAATGTTGTATGATGTTTTATCAGTCTTAATTCATTGAGCTTATTGGGTGTCTTCTTCCTGTATTTTTTCCCCAAAAGACGACAACCATGTACTGTGACTGAAGTTTTCCAGTTTTGTTGGGTGCTATTTGTTCATGCAAAAGGTAAGTGATTTGAAAGGGATTAAATACAGCAAACCTGGTTTTGTTAGTTGTTACCTTATATCAATCCTTAAACACTGAATAGGTGCAGGCGTTTCTGAATTCAGAAATGCCTTTGCAGAAAGGGCCTTCTCAGAACACCCTGAAAGAAAGTATTTTGTCTCAATTTACCCACTGTATGTTTTACCACATTTTTAAGGTGAGCTGTATGTGCAAATAGTTTGGTAGCTTTTATGTGGAATATTTTTATGAAGTTTTCAGTATTGTGGAGACTTATGCTGTAATTCAAAGGGAAAAAAGTAGCTTAGAATTTTAGTGAATTCATATTTAGATATTGTTGTAATTAACATAAGGTGTATATGTATGTTTACTAGGAACAAAGAATATTTAAATTCCTCCTAAGTTTCCAGCAATGCTGAAAGTATTTAATGATTTTTTTTCTACAACCTAGTAAAAATTTATCATAAAATTGCAGGTGTGAGTACTTTCACACTAGTGTCACAGATAGCATTCTAATTCTTTTGATAGCCTTTTTGCCACCCTACCTTTTTAAAAAATGAGCATACAGCAACTGTATCAAATAACCATATGCATTACTAAATACATCTGCCTGTGCCTGTCTTGCAAGGGTGATTTTTCTCTTGCACTTTGGACATAGCAGTGTATATATAAATGGCTGACTGTCTTGAAGACTCGGATACCTTTGGAACACATAAGGGGATCCTCTGTTAATATGCTTCTGCAGAAATAATGCAATGAACAGACAATATATTGCAATGTATATATAACCTTTATTGTTAGAGTAGCCTTAAAGCTAATAAGAACAGCAGAGGATTTCAGCAGTTTTTCTTGATAATGACTGATGGGAAAGAAAGTCACAGGGGGGAACAGGATTAAATCCTTATTTTAGGCTTAAGTTGTTCATTCATATCACATATAGTCTAAAGTCTTTCCTCATCAAACCTGTGTCTTAAAGAGTTTCTGCATACCTAGAGCTTTATTCAAGTACTGCTTGGATGAGTGTTTACTGGGAATTCTGTATAAGTAAGATAGTGTTTTGAGGAAAATAAAGACAAGATTTATATTTCTCACTGAAAGAAAGTCTTTGTAGATTCAGGTCCGTTAATAATTTCCAGAGACTTTTTATATTTTTTCATAAGAAAACTTCTAGTAGAAGAAAACTAATAGTTTAATTTCTACAAAGAAAGTGATAAAAGGAATTTTGTTTTGGTTTGGGTGTGTGTGGTGGGGTGGTTTTTTCCCAGTTTAAAAGTGAATCAGTGTTAAGATTCCTGCAGTGTGCCATGATTTCCTTAATTGGCAGCTTTTGAGGATAGGACAGAGTAGGCTGTCACAATATTGAATTATCTGGCACTAACTTTGTTAAATACAGATTAGCCTTTCTTTCTACACTGTACCATGTCGTGGAGGGCTGCCAGCAGCTCCCTTTTGGAAAAGTAACTGGCAATATTACTGGACCCTCACCATCACAGCTTTGTACAAAGATCAAGAAGGTTGTGGTATTGCACAAGTGCTGTACTGAACACTGTATCTTATGCAGAAGATGCCTTTTTCCAATAGGCTGCAAATTCCACTTTATTGGGAAAGAGAAATCTTTCCTAAACAAGTATGTTGCTTGCAACCCTTGCAACAGTATGATTTTCATCTTTTTAAATTTTTTTTTCATTCCAGAATAGCGCTCTCAAGTAGTATGAAATACCTATTCATATTCCACTGAGTCCAAGGAGAGTTAGTACTGTACTTCATTTCCAGTCACTCAGGACTTTATTCTTTAGCACAGTTAGGCAGCTGAGGGAGTAAGTCGGTCGGTCTGAAAAATCACAGATTTTTCTTTTCCCTTTTATAAAATCCCTAATTCTATAGGTAGATTAGACAGTTGACAAGGTACAAAGGGACTTAATGAGTCTTCCTATAGCTAAATTATCGGTTAATATGTTCGAGTAACTACATCATCAATTAACTACTTGTTAATTAGCGAGCAGCTTCAGATATACAAATTAACTTTGTAGAGAATACCATGTTGAGAACATAGTCAATTATATTTTACAAGAAAAAGGAAAATTTACAGTAATTATAAACTGCAAAATTAGTAAGTGGCTAGTGGTAAATTTATTAAAGTGTGGCAGCACAGAAATGGAAACTAAATGTTGACCATTTCAGGCATTAAATATTCATGTTAAGTTTTGTTCACTGTGTTTTGAGGGTTGGCAGTAATCCTTATCATGGCAACCGCACATCAGTGGCAAGTTCAGGCTTGTCTCTGTGATATTTCTGCAAGCCTGAAGATCATTGCGTTCAGTTTCACAAATGGAGAAAGTACAGGTCTTGTTCGTACTTCTGGTATATGCTGCAAAGTAAGATAGTGACTTTGTTTAGTGATACTGCAATTCTTGCATACTATTTTTAAGAATTTATCTTTAAACTCTCTATCTTGACTTTTTTCTTTAAAATTGAAATGGGAAAAAAATACCTCTGCAGCAGTGAGATAACTATTTTTTTGTTATTATTATTTCGTACTACGTTGTGAAAGGGAGTAGTAAGCTATTGTTTGAAATGTCATTGAGAAATCATTTGTATGAAACTACTGGTAGTGTAAAATTAGATATATTTTTGACTGTGCTGACAGTAACAATTGTCGTGCTAGACTTCATGGTTATGAAGTGGACCTACGTTATGAGAGTTACTTCTTTAAGTTTTTTATTGATTAACATTTTGCTGTTGTACTTAGAACTTTCATTGCTTTGCTGTGAACCTTATTTGGTTATTTGGAAATAACTGATAAATGTGTACACTTAATTCAAATTTCCTGTAGGCTTCATTATTTTAAATAGTTCCAATTATTTGCATTGAAATTCTTTTTCTTTTAACAAATGTGGAATCAGAAAATTAAATATAAATTTGAACAAACTGATACATTACTGGTAGAAAAGTAACAGCATAATTTAGAAATATTCATACATACATTTTGATGTGTTTTGAGTGAGTTTATTACTATGTGTTAGATTTCTTCAAGGATTTAAACCTGTTCTTCATAGTGGGCTCAGCTAAGTCGTTTGGAGCTTACCTGGGAAAAACGAAAAAAAGGACTAAAGGAGTTATTAGTATTGAAAGAGTGATAGAAAAATCATGCTGTGCATATAAAGTCATGGAATTGTGATTTAAGGTATTAATTAATGGTATAGTTTATTTTACAAGACTGTTTTTAGCTATGGCCATTCCTCTAAAGGAATATCATAAACCTAAACGAGTTCAGTAAAGAGTAATGAATCTGAATATAATCTTTGTGAAAGGTGATAAAAGAGTGAAGAGGTTACAAGGATTTTTTTCTACAGGAAGATGATAAATAAAAAATACTTTAGAGGTATATGAAATAAAGCTACACTGTAAACCAGAGCAGAGAGACATATTTTAACTCTTTTGTAAAGCACAAGAGAAATAAAGTTAAATTTATTACTGTTTATAATGAGCACGCCCCCAGCAAAACAGATTCATTCTGGAGAATGGGGGGGGAATTGAAAGAGGCGGTGGTGCTTGCTTTTTCTAGGACATCTGAACACTTGGGTCTAGCCTAGAAAAAGTTAAAGTTCTTTGCAACACTTTTCAGCAATGCAAAATTGGGGAAAAGGAAAGTCTCAGTCGGAACCCATTCTTCCCCCTTATACACCCACCTGTTATAAGCAGAACAAGATTCTGTTTCAGGCAGATGGAGTAAGAATCTGTTGAAGGAAGTAACTCTGCCAGACAGTGGGGCTTGAATTGCCAGAGTTATGGTAACAAATTTTTCTTCCTTGAGGTACTTTGCATTATACAGTTCATGCTGCTTCAAGTTATTTATGCACTGATTAATCAGATTACGGTGAATGACTGAGTCTGCAATATCACGTTTATCAGCATTTTGGTAAGGTTTGTTTTCAAAACAGCATAATATATTTGAGTTCCTACACAGTTGCTGCTGTTCCTGAAAACATATTTTACTATTGTTTTTGCTATATTTTATTAAGTGTGTGTCTGTTTTACTACCTGCATTTCTACCCAGATATTTATAGTCACCAAAGTCTGTGTTTCCAAGACTCCATTTTTGATTGTAATACAAATCTCAACAGTTTCTTGGTTAAAATACTTTAAAATCTATGCTGATTTTAATTAATGTCTTATGTCTTTCTAATATTGAAGGTAATTTTCCTATGATCAGTGATGACTTGGTCAATTCCTACCATCTCTTGTTATGTGCTTTGGATCTAGTGTATGGAAATGCTCTCCAGTGTCCTAATCGTAAAGAACTTCTGAATCCTAATTTTAAAGGTATGTTGAAGAAAACTATCTATCTTTATCCAAAGTCTGCAAGAACTTCTAAGGCTACTGAAATGAGTATGAATCTATGTGGCAGAGAATAAGTTGAATAATAATGATTTGAAATACGTGGGAATTAATATTTTCTATATCTGGCTACGCAGTTAGATATCTATTAATGTAGTATGTAATAACAGACTACTGAATTTTGTCAATAATATAGTAAGTCAAGAATTTAATTTACTATGGAAATACCATTCAAGGAAGTTCCAAAGTAAAAATGTCAATTAATGACATTTTAATGTCAGTGAAAGAGTGCATAATGACACAGTTGTCATTGGACACAATCAGACTGGAGAGTTCCCGTGAGGCAGCAGCTTGGAAAGATCCAATGCTCAAATACGAGAGTGGCAACTTGATTGTTTCTTTCTCATTTCTGGATTGCTACTGTTCTCTTTCAGAAGAGAATGGAAATGTAGGTTGACTTGATAACCACAAATACAAATGAATGGTGAGAAGTTTCCATTGAATTTCTGATGTAATTCTTTCCAGACTTATACTTCATTTTCAGTGCTGCACAGTATTCACATTTACTTTGTAGTGGTTCAGATGTGAACTGGGACCATTATCTCAAATTTATTTGAATAAATATTATAGTTCACAAGTGTTTGATTGATTTTCGATTAGAACTGATATTTTTAATTTTTATCGCACAATATCTAATTTTTTAAATATCTGACTCAAAATTGACTTTTGATAACATTATCAAATTGAGTGGGCATTATATAATTAATAATTCTTTCAAGGGATCTAATTAGTTTACCATTTTAATTTCACACTACCTAGACTACACAGCATAGAATTTAAGTTTAATAAGAAAACAAGGTATGGATTTGCAAAATTAAATAATACAGTATTCTTAATTGTAGGTCTACCTGATGACTTTCATAGTAAGGATTATAAAGTATCATCTGATCCTCCCTGCATCATTGAAAAACTGTGTTCATTACATTATGGATTAGTTTTAGAAGCAAAAGGCATAAAGGAACATTTTTGGAAGCCATATATTCGGAAACTTTTTGACAAAAAGGTTGGTCAATAAATTTGTAATGTAGAAAAATTTCTCCTTACTCATTATCTCCAAAACCTTTTTAAGAACTGAAACATCCATCCTTTGTTCTTAACTGTCTTGCAGCTTTTAAAAGGAAAAGATGAAAATCTGACTGGATTTCTAGATCCTGGGAACTTTGGAGATAGCTTGTGAGTCACTGTATTCATGGTTTGGTTTGCGTTAGTATCCCTCTGTAATACAATTGCACTTGCTCTGTTATCTGTGTCTTAACTAATACTAGCTATTTGACTTGTGTATTTATTAATGTTTATACATGACATTGCATTTCAGTTCCTTTCTTTGAGGTGGTACAGTCTGAGGCATATTTGAAAGACGAATGATTCTTCAGGATGGTGTTACTTGATGTCTGCTTTTATTCTTATGTTTCTATGTTTTGATTTTTTTATATATAACTCAGAGTATTAGTATGAAAAAGATGTGGGAGCACATTGAATGAGTGGGAAGTGGGAGGGAAAAATTGGATTTGGTGTTATTTTTTTCTTTATAAACCTAGAGATGCTTATGAGTAGGACTTCTTTTCTTTTAAATGGTATGAAAACAGTTAAGTGTAGATTATGATTATGTGATGCTGTGTAAGTTTTGAGGAGCTTGCAGCCAAATATGAGTTCTCAGTATTTTATTATGTTCCTCGTGCAGCTATACTAAATGGCAAGCCATCAGATGTAATGGAAAAATAATGACCTTGCCTCTGTCGTGTTTCAGATATTGTAGATTTTAAAGGAGCTCCAATGCTTCCGTCAGGGTTAAAAGAAGTTCTGAAGTAGACTTCCAAGAGACCAGAACTGTGTTCATTCAGTAAGCAAGTGAACAAAGCATTGTCTAAATAAAGGGGGTTTTGTATGTCTTTTCCTTTTTGCTATAGCAAAGCTATCAACAAGGCCTACGAGGAGTATGTTTTGTCAGTAGGAAATCTTGATGAGCGAATATTTCTTGGGGAGGATGCAGATGAAGAAATTGGAACTCTTACAAGGTGCTTAAATACAACTTCAGGAATGGAAACAGCTGAAAGAGTACAAGTGAAGCATAATTTGCAGCAGCACTTTGACAGGGTGAGTGCAACATGGTCTGTGTTGCTGTTTTTATATGGAGAATAAGTTGAGTTAGTCTATGTCTGATGAAGAGAAGCAGCTACAAGAAATTACCATCTTTATTGTTCAAGGTGATCTGGGAGTGTACACAGCATAGCCGAGTTAGTTTTTGTAATTGATTAGATATATTGTTTATTTGGGGGTTTTGGGGGACACAATTTCTCCATACATTTGGGGTTTCTTTGGTTAAATACAGTATAGAGAATATTTAGGTAATTACCTAGAAAGGTGTATTTAGGTAAATCTTTAGGTGAAGATTTTCAAGCACAAAAGAAGGGGCAATTCTCCATGGTTGTTTGGCAGGTGCTGAATTGCCCTGCAACTGTTGGGGCCCTCTGGACCTGTCTGTCCAACTTCCCCTTCCCTCACATCTCTGTCTCATATGCAGAGTTTTTTGTTTAACGTGTGCAAAGCTGCTCCGCGCTTTGCCCTATACATTCTTTTTGTTTCCTTTTAACAGATGTGCTTCAGGTGTTAATATTACATCTTTTTACAGTTTTAGTTAAATCACTAGGGAATGGTTTTCACCTTGCTTGCCTAAAAGCATGATGCATACATATGTCTATATATGACTAATGAAATAGTATAGAATATGGTCTTTGAGAGGATAAAGAACAACACATGTTTCAGAACAATAAAGTGAAGACCTATAAAATTATCAGGGCCTTTGTGTGACTAGAGTAGCATTTGAAAAACAGGCACTGACTTTGAATGCAGACAAGTATACCTATGATTACAGAATATCAAAATGTTCCTGAAGATGGAAAAGATGTCTTAAAGGAGGAAGGATACAAGACAGGCAAATAAAGAAGGATATAAGCTCTATTAGCACAATTAGATTACAGAGATCAAAAGGGTAAATCAGTCTAGATCACTGAAATAGTTCTGTGATCTTTTCCAGAGTGAGAGTTGCTTAATGGCTTTCAATGTTCTGGAGAGAAAAGATCAAAATAACCTTATCTGCAAAATCAGTGCAAATAGTTAATTCTTCGCTTCTGATCTGTTTAAAGAAATAATCAACCACTTAGTTTTGCTGGCATATTTCTGGGTGCGTAACTCTTGTAGGTTTCTGTAGTGATGAAACAGTGTGGCCTATAAGACAGCAGCTTGCAGCTGCAATGCTTGTGCTGTTGCATGCTCTTGGGGAGTCCAAGGCAGGGCTGGGGGAACCATCTTTCCTGGTAGGGTATGGAAACAGAAATAAAACACACTTAAGAGTGTGTGGGGAAAATGGGAGGAGTATTGGGAGGTAGACTTCATGGTGAGAAAACTGCAAAATGTAATGTATTCATTAAAATAGGGAAAATATTTCTTGGTTGTTGCATGGTTAGATAATTAGAAGATGCATTGGTTTTGCTGCATATTAATTGAAGGAACATCCTTGATGTTGTTTTGATGTGATGATGGCTTGATCTGATGCAAATGAATTAAAATGCTAATCGTTAGATTCAGGACTTTTCATGTTAAGAATTAAACCTGCTGAAAGGAAACCCTGGCTCAGTATGCTTTTCCTATAAGCTACAGCTACCTTTGGTACTCAAGGGATAGGAAGGGATGGCTAGGGTTTGGGTTTTTTTTTCTAGATTGGCCTAGTTGTTTCACACTTCACTCCCAGTATCTGCATTTCAGTGTGAGGTCACATCCTCTCTGTTTATATGTTTATACTGTACTGTTTGATACAAACATCCAAGTGACACAGATAAATCTTTTATTGCTGGCTATTATCTAAGACGTGAACTAGTTTGGGCTCTTTGATTCCTAGCCATTTTTTCCAGGCATATATCGTAACACAGGGTAAGAATTCTACAGATTGACACTTCTAGGTTATGACATGTATCTAAGTTTTATAACAGTGTACAGTTATATGCTTTTTTTTTGTCTTTTTAGTCCAAATCACTTAGGATTACAACCCCACTTACTGGCCGCAAGTATATTAAAGAGAGCAACCCATATGTAACACCTGTTTCCATAGCAACATACAGTTTGAGCCGCCTTCATACGATGCTGGCAGGACTGAAAAATGCCCCCAGTGAAAATCTGGAGCAAATACTCAGGTAAGTTTGATGTTTAGCTAACCAAATAATTCTATTTTTTTAAATAGTTTTAATAAGAAACGTTAATGCTGAACAGTGTACTTTAAAATGTGAGTCAGTCTTGAAAGGTTCTGGAGTAAAATCGGACCCAGAAAGACATTTAAATTTCAAAAGACTTTGTTCTCTTTATGTAGATACATTTGTCCTTAAGAGACTGGTGGCTGTAAGAACATGCAACGTTTAAAACCCAACAGTTCTGAGCTTCTCTAACAGTAAACTGCTAATACAAAATTTTCAAGGCTTTTCTTCTTCCTACTTAGCAAATCATTCCATACCGTAGGAGATGCAAAATAAAATTTATTCTCCACGTAGATAAACTGTTGCTTCAGGCACAATGTATTTTAAAACAATTTTTATATCACATGGAAAATGCTTTTCAATATTTATCCCTGATCATGAAAAGACGCGCATATTTACTACAGCGTATAGAATAACAATAATAGTAATATGCTTTTGACATTTTACAGTACATATATAGTTAGGCATGTATGGGCGTGTTTGTATTGCTATGCAATATATTTACAGTTTCATGCCTTTATCATATTAAAAAATAGTTGTAGATTTTTTTCTTTTTTTGTCTTAGTAGGAATAGTATGTTGAAAATGTTTAGTTTTTATTTTCAGGGCATGTTCCCGAGATCCTTCTCAATCTATTGCAAACAGAGTAAAAGAAATGTATGAAGTATACTGCCAGAGCATGCAGTCTGAAGGAGAATTCAGTAATTTTTCCAAAGGTAGGAAACATTTTGCTTACACAGACAAGAATTAAATGCCTGTAAACATATTCATCTCTTGTAACTTAGTTTTACTTATATGTTATGCTTTAGCACAAGTGTCTCTTGCGTTACTTTTGTCTTTTCCTGTATTCTTAAGACATGGCAAATTTCAACCTTGCATACAATTTTATAATCAGCCTTAGCTTAAATCACTGGAATTTGATGATACTTTCCGTTCTACAGAAGTGAAACGAAAAGCACTGTTAAGGGTACCACTTTTTCTCTCAGATTTAAGAGTAATAGCAATGGCATGGATTTTTGTGATAGTAATGAAAAATCTGACTAATTGTAGTCTTTAAACTTTGGCAATTTGGGCTTACAAACAAAGATACGTTAATACAGATACTAAAATACTGCCAGTATAAATTATTATTTACAAAGTTGTCATGAACTGTGAAATGCATGAAGACGCATTGAAAATAGAAGATGCTGTTTCTTAATAGGGCCTTCCTCTGTTCTTGTCAGCATAGTTGCTTCAGTGTTTTCTGTTGCCCAGTGCAGGTTGGATCCATATAAGTGTACTTTTCAATGTATTTTCTGAACTTGAAATACGTATATTGTATTATAGCAATGTTAAGGATTGTTCTTCATATATTGTGTTTTCATCAAAATCTGGGTTCAGTAATAAGTTATTCTGCTTTGCATTCACAAGTCAGTGCAGCACAGGAGAGGGTTTCCTCAGTTAACTTTAACGTAACTAACTGGCTTAGTCCTGAAAGTATTGTAGCCATAGCAGCACTAAAATCCACACAAGCTACTAAATCATAGCTTAAGAATATAATTCTTTTATCGCATTTCACCATATTGTTTCTATTTAAAATTCCTGCAGATGTTGCTAGTAAGCATTTTCGTCGTGCTGAGGTGCTATACTACAAGGTCTTGGAGTCAGTCATTGAGCAAGAGAGAAGGAGACTGGGAGACACTGACTTATCTGTAAGGAAAACTAATCAAATTATACCTCATTTTTAAAGTTGGGCTTACAACAAAGGAAACCAGTTGTAGAGCAGAACAGACACCTATTTAAAATGAGGCTAAATCTCTAAAAAGTAGCGTGAAAATACACGTGAATGGAAGAAAAAGTGTACAAGAAATTATTTGCATTTGCAAACACAAAGCTATATGAAATTTTTAATGAGTAAAGATGGCTCATTTTGGATTCTGTTCTGTCTCTTACAAAATAACACCTCTTTTTATAAGCTTGGTAATCTTGCTGTTGAGGTAGAATAGAAAGCATTTTATTGTTCTATAGTTACACTGTAAATGAGCATTGAAATTTGCAACTCTCTTGCAGGCAATACTGGAACAAGATGTGTTTCATAGATCTCTGCTGGCATGTTGCCTTGAGATAATTACCTTTACATATAAGCCACCTGGAAACTTCCCATTCATCACTGAAATATTTGACATTCCAGTTTATCACTTTTATAAGGTAAAGTGTTTGATAGTTAGAAGTGCTTATCAATTCATGAGTACTCTATTGACTTATAATTTAATCTCCTTACCCAGATGTTAACTTACACATTAACCTTCATTCTTAGCTTTGCCCCTTTTTGTATTGAAAAAATATTACCCAGGTACCTGTCATTCTGGGGTGTCTTGGGCATTTAAAAATCAAAATACTGTTAGCAGTTTAACACAGGAGCAGCATCCAAGTATCTATACAGTAACTAATGGATTATCATTTTATCATGACCTATTGTTGTAGCTATTCAGCAACAGTGTTTGACATGTTTGTTTAGAAAGATACAAATATCTTGTCTTCTGCTAAAACTGCAAGACAACATATGATTGACTCATTGTAATGCAGCATTAATACTTCTAAGTCTCATCTTCCTTGAAAATCAGAAATTCTAATTGGATGTTTCTGTGAGAAGAAATAAATATATGAAACAAGTACATTATGTTGATCATAACTATCTGCCTTGCAGGTAATTGAGGTTTTCATTAGAGCAGAGGACGGCCTTTGTCGGGAAGTAGTAAAACACCTTAATCATATTGAAGAACAGATCTTGGAAAGTATGGCATGGAAACAGGAATCCATATTGTGGGACAGAATCAGAGATAATGAAAACAAAGTTCCTAGTTGCGAAGAGGTGAGCACTTGTTGGTATGTTTTACGTAGGTTTCCTACACAGACAGGATGGTAGAGAGTGGATGTTATACCCTGAAGGAGAGGCTGTGCGTGTCCAAATTTCAGTTTCACCCTATAAGCTACTCAAGGCAGAGAAAACAGTAAATGTGGTGTGCTCTGCTCTGTTCATGGACAGCTCTAGAGAGACATCCAAAATGGAGACATGCAGCTGAGATGATTCTCCCCCAGTATTTGCACAGTGTAGCAGAACAATGAACAAAATGGACAAGCAGGGAAGGTTTGGAGCAGTCACACTTGAAAAGATTACTAGACAAGAAGTACGGACTTTTAATTGTCATAGAAAGATTATTCCAGTACTGTGTGTTTTAGAGTAGTACAATCACTACAAAGCTTTAGTTAGGCTTTTAAAAATTTATTATGTAGTTAATCTGCAATACAGACACTCTAATAAAAGTATAAATATTTTAGGTAATGCCACCTCAGTATTTTGAGAGATCTGCTGGGAACAGTGTTGTAGGTTCACCATTGACACCAAGACGAATAAATGAGGTTCGCGCTGAAACTGGAGGATTAGGAAAAGGTGAGACTTTTTTTAAGCATAACATACTTACTTACACTTAGACCATGGCTTTAATTTTTAAATCTAAGTGGTGTACAACAAGGAAGCTGCTTTAATGTCAATGTATAGTTAACTGCAAACACACACATTTGTAAATGGTATTTCTATTGCAACTCACATAGTTAAGTGAGATGTCTGGGAAGGATGCATTCATCATTTCAGTGTGAACAAAATACTATTTTGATAGGGTGTTTTCAGGAAGTTATGTATATGAACAGCATAGATGTATGTGTACATATGGATATGTTAAATAATATTTATACACGTGCAGTACTTATGTTCTAATAGGTAGCACTTGAATAGTTTGCTTTATTGTTATACCAGAATAGAAGCTCCAATATATATTTAGTTATGTCAAGTCTCAACCTTTTCTCTGGAAAAATAAAACATAATAACTTAATATTTTTCTAAGCTAAACACAGCATTATTTGAGACCATCACCTCTAAAAACAATCTGTAAGCCACAAATGTAGACACAAGGAATTTTTAAAAATGCTTCCCAAAGAGCTTTGCATGACATTGTGTGGTTCTCATTAGACTTCTGTCACATATTTGTGTTATAAGGGATTAAAGAAAAGAGTTAAATATATATGTGTGTGTGTGTGTGTGTTTTTAATTCACAGGCCTTTCATCCTCTCCAACTACCCTGTATGACAGATACAGTTCTCCTACAGCCAATCCTACAAGGAGAAGACTGTTTGTTGATAACGATAATACCTCTGACAGTGGAACTCCAGTAAGAGTTTCCCAACAGCCTGTGGTAAATACGGTGCCTGTGCAGAACATGAATCCTGAAGCAATGTCAGTAACTCCAGTGCCCGGCCAGACACTGGTTACAGTGGCAACTGCCACAGTAACAGCCAACAACGGGCAAACTGTGACAATACCAGTACAAGGTGAGAGAAAAGCCACTAAAGAATTATCGAGGCTTGTTCCTGTCAGAGTATTAGTACACAGTAAGGGGGGGGGGGGATGGGACGGACAGTACACTGGTGGAGAAAAAGTATGTATGTTTAAGGATTCATAACTGGGAAAAATTGTTTGAACAGATGAGCAGAATTTAGAAACCAAACATGTACAGCACAAGGATGTTCTGACTGCCAACATCTATTTTATAAAATTTAGTTATTTCAGTAAGCCTTCCTTCCTGAACTGGCATGGGATGAAAGTTGCATTAGTATGAAAAGCTTAGTTCAATTTCATTATCTTCTTCTCTCCTTATGTTGAAAAGTCCAAAAATACTTTATTGAAACAAACAATTTCATATATACTAAACACATAGTTACAGTTATAAGCAACTAATTACATGATTACTGAATTCTTTAAAAAAAAAAAAAACCAAACCACAACCTCCCCTCCATCAACCTGCTCTTACTTCAGAGTCTTTCTCTTAAATTACAGGTATTGCCAATGAAAATGGAGGAATAACTTTCTTCCCAGTCCAAGTAAATGTAGGTACCCAGCCTCAAGCTGTCTCTGGCCCCATTCAGCCTCTCAGTGCCCAGACTCTTGCTGGTACCCTGAACACTCAGATGACTGGGGCAACATTGCAGTTACCAGGCCAGTTAACTGTTCAGCAGATCCCTCCTGGAGAGCAAAGACAAACCCAGCAATTTACCACTGCCATGTCCATCAGACCTCGGAAGATGGGCTCACTTTCACTCTTCTTTAGAAAGGTACTTTTCAGTCTAATTTGTGCTTTGCTTAGTTTGTATTTTGGTAAGTCTTCAGTGATTTTTAAAATAGGTACTTATTACTACTACTAAGCAAATATTCCATTTCAAAGTTAATCTCTACCCTTTGTCTGTTCATACACGTACCTGAAGAGTAGTTTTCTTATGCAGGCAACTTCTCACTAGCAAAGGAGTAGACTATCACCACAGCTATCACATCACAAGTTGTGAAGCAGATTATGTACTTGGCCAGCAGGTACTTAAAGGTGTCCATTTTCTTTAAGGCTCTTTCTTTAAAAGGAAGAAATCACCTTTCAGACATTCTGGTTTATTCAATCCAGTGGTTTCTTATCAGGCTATGCAGTACCCTTCCTGTGCTCAGGACAACTCAGAATTTAAGCTTTAAACAACTGTTTTCTTAGCATCAATACCAGTACTGAGAATGTCTGTGTCTTGTAAGAAAAAAGTTAAATTTAGTTATTCTTCTTTTGGCTTATCATTTGCACAAGTTCTACAGGGTGGGCAAGCCTGAACTACTCCTTAGCTGGGTAGGAAAAGCAGTATTGCTGTGGCCCTAAGCATAGTCTCCCTTTCAACAGGTGTATCATTTAGCTAGTGTTCGTCTGAGAGATCTCTGTGTCAAACTCGATATATCTGATGAACTGCGGAAGAAGATCTGGACATGTTTTGAGTATTCCTTGGTGCACTGCCCTGAAATCATGATGGATAGACATTTGGATCAGCTGCTGATGTGTGCCATCTATGTAATGGCTAAGGTACAGTGTGAATAAAGAAAAAGCAAACAAACAAAACACTTCTTTAAGACTAAATATTCCAGAGATTGCAATTCCTCAAAAAAACTCACAAAACCAACCAACACAGAAACAAACAAAAAAACCCCCATTTAACTTTTCTGTTCATGTCCTCTTAGGTTACTAAGGAAGATAGATCATTTCAGAATATTATGCGCTGTTATCGGACACAACCACAAGCCAAGAGTCATGTAAGTAGAGGCAGTATTAAACAATGTGGTATTCCGTTTATTAAATGCCTTAGTTCTATTTTAGGAATGGATTGCTTTTTACAGTAACATTTAGTTATTAAATGAGTGCAGTCTGTGATCCATTCTCTTCAGAAGACAGCAGTCGCATCCAAAATCCTGCGCTACTGAAAGCTTTTTATGCTAAACTATAACTAAAATAGAAAATATCTTTACTTAAAAACTAAGAAGGCAGTGCCTATGGGATAATACTCCTCTTAGGAGGCTGTATTTTCCCCTGTAAGAAGCAGTTTGATACCACAATGCAGTTTCTAACAAGCAGATATATCATGCAGACTATTGTTTCCTGATGATGTAACTGCATGTCTAATCATCCTTCCTTCATTATGCTTCTCTTTTTCCCTGCAGGTATATCGCAGTGTCCTGATAAAAGGCAGGAGGAGACGACGACGCTCTGGCAGCAGTGACAGCAGTAGCCAGCAGAACTCACCTACAGACAGAAGTAAAGAGAAAAACAAAGAAAGAAGTGAGTGATTCCAACTTCAGATGTTTGCTTTTAATTCCGTTTCCAAAACCGCGTGCATAAAGGAAGAGTTAGGTTTTGTGTCACCCCACCACAAGCAATTCTTTCTTTGGTAAACTTGGCCACAATTAAAAATATAATTTTAACATTTAAGAGTTGCTGTAACTCAAACTTAATATTACACCCACTTTGACAGTTTTGAATCTATCACCATGTGCACTTACCTGAAGAGTTTACCACAATGGCCAGCCTGAACTCTTTGAGTTCAGTTTGTACACCAAAGAACATGTCTTTGTAGAATGGAAGGAAATCAGTGCTAGCCTGTGTTCACAGCTACTCTCAACACAATCATGGAGCTGCAGCAGGTTCTTTTGCAGTAGCTGGCTGTCTTCAGAGATAGGAAGAAAGCCACCCACAACATCTATTTTAGCATATCTGACATCTCTGAAGATTCTTTTCTTGATACTTGAACTGACACATTTTCCTTGAACTAACTTTTATTAAAGGAAAGCAAATAAGTGATGCTGTATGTTCCTACCACCAGTTCTCAAGATATTTAATAGATGATGGTATAAACTGTAGGTATTAATGTTTTCTGTCACAGAGGTGGCAGGGAGGGGAAGAAAAAAAATTTTTGTGTATATATATAAAAAAAAGTATTACCCAGCCAAATATTTCTACTACTAGCTGAAAAAGACTACCATTCCTTATTTGAAATTGTGCCAGCTGGCGACAAGAAAGAACTACTCTTAAAAGCATAGCACAAATGCCTGCAAAATGGAGTTTTAGCTCTGCTTGTATTATGATGAAATTCAGCTTATACAGAAAAGGCACTTGCAGTTTATCCAGTATTAAGTTGGAAATCAAACGTGTTTCTGTACACATACTTGGCAGTTTGTTGGTCTTTAACAACATACTGCTTTTTTGTAAGGGAAGATGCCAAGGGAACAAAATTAGCATCGCTGATATTGACACCAGGTTCACGGTCACTATACTGCAATTTAAAAGTCTGGAACACAGTTTTTGTATGCTGAGCGTCTGGGATTAAAGTGTTTGAAGTGCATTAAACAGTTGCAGCTGAATAAAGGAGAGATGGCTCTGGTCTTTACAGCTAGCAGAGACTCCAGTCCAGTAATGCGATCCAGCAGCACCCTGCCCGTACCACATCCCAACAGCGCTCCCCCTACTCCAACCCGACTGACGGGTGCCAACAGTGACACTGAGGAGGAAGAGCGAGGGGACCTTATACAATTCTACAACAACATGTATATCGAGCAGATTAAAGAATTTGCCCTGAAGTATACTTCAAATGCGGTAAGTTAAATTCTGTGCTTTTCATCAGTAATAGATTTTTTTTTTTACTGTATATGCAGTAAAGTACTCTTAGCTAACCTCACTGTAAGCAAATTCAAGGGATTATATTTTTATGACAGTAATTTCACCTCAAGGACATACTTCGCGGCTAAAATACTAAGTACTTTTGATGCCTGTATGATGTTTCCTCCAGTATGAGAGACACAGCACTGAGCAATGTCATCTGCCAGCCTTAGAAAAGTAAGATAAAAAAATATTAATCTGGCCTAATAACATGACAAAACTTGCATCTGTTCTAAATACGTATGGTGTGACATTAGTGGAAAAAAACTCAACTGTGTTTATGGTGACCAACTCACAAAAGCCTTACTGTAGTAATGCCTGAGATCAGATACCAATTATTGGGTGATTTTGATTTTCTTTTGAGCAGACTGATTCTCCTCCGCTCTCGCCCTACCCATTTGTAAGGATTGGCTCCCCTCGCAGAATACAGCTGTCCCAGAATCACCCAGTGTACATCTCGCCACACAAAAACGAGCCTACTCTCTCTCCTCGAGAGAAAATATTCTATTATTTCAGCAGCAGCCCATCGAAGGTGAGTCAAAAAGGGTTTAATTTGCTTTTATAAATCCTTAATTCTACCTTTTCTTTTTGGTAGTGAAATTACAGGAGATTGTGCAACACATCTTTCTGTTCATATGACATGTACCTTCTCACCTAATGCTCTTCCAACTGTCTGTTCAGGTATCTAAGAAGTTGTAAAGCAATTAGGTGTCCAGGCTACTTGTGTACTTTTAAAAGAAGTTACTCTTTGTACCAACACACCTGACAGACTCAGGAGGTGCGGCAACAGTACCCTTTGCTTTCAGGGAACAGATGGGTTATATGGGTCAGAGACTGTTGAAAGAGAACATTAAGTACAATCACAAACTCTTAGCTACCTAGCGGGGAAAAATCCTCCAAATGGCCTTAACATGAAAGGACTTACCAGGTGAACATGTAACAGGCTGAATCCTGTCCTCTCTGGTCACCAAGAACAAAGTAGAAATCTTCCCTGAGAAGCATCTTCATTCTAGATAGGGAGTGTTGCACCTATGGTGTAAGGTAAGAGTCCTAACTATGGATGGAAGGGCTTTCAGCTCTACATGCATTGAAACAAGCAGCTTGCTTGAGTCTGAGTAAGACTCTAGCATACTCTAGTAATGGAAAGACCAGTACGGTGATTAAAAAGGTACAGTACAGATCTCCAGAAATATAGCACACATAATCCCATTGTAATGCAATTAACAAAAGTTCACTTTATATTTTGGTAGTCACAATAATGAGAGCTAATTCTACTTTTTCCCCCCACCCCCCTCCAGAGGCTAAAGGAAATTAACAGCATGGTTAGAACTGGAGAAACTCCAACAAAGAAGAGAGGTATTCTCTTAGAAGACGGTACTGAAGCACCAGCTAAGCGAATCTGTCAGGAGAATCACACCGCTCTGTTAAGACGACTACAAGATGTAGCAAATGACAGAGGGTCTCACTGAGTCCGGTGTTTCAGCACAGATCTTCCCTCGCTGCTGCTCCACCGGGCCAGGCTGCTTAGTCCATCACATGGAGTCACCAAGCCTTTGCAAGTGTCTTCAGCCAGGCTGTCCTCTTCCCACCTCGCCACCCTGATCGTGACCTGTCTCCTGCCAGACTGCGCTGAGCCTTTGTACTTGTCAGGAAGGGGCAGGAGGAGAGTCTCCCACAATGCCCACGGCAGCGAGGATACGCTGCCAACCCTGCGACCCAGCCTCACCCCATAGTTAAGCTAACCATAAGGCAAGCGATCCATCTCCAGGCTTTGGCTTCGGCAAGCAGCTGAAGCGCTTTCTGTTGCTTGGAGCATGCATCCCTAACACGGCTTTCTACTGCGCACCAGACATTTAAATCTGTTTGCTCTAACCAGTCCACTCATGTTGTTTGTATCAGTACTTCACCATTTTCATCTTTGGACTAGGAAGTTATACGTGCATCAAACGTGGGAACACTGCACTGAGATAACCATATTCAACAGTGTCTTGGTTTGTACAGTAATGACTTCCACAAAACCAATGACTTACAAGTACTGTTCTAGCAAAGTCCAGTTCTGCTTGGAAAAAGAAGATGGAAATAATCTTTTTCAGCCCTGAAGGAAGCTGTCTGGATGGATTCTTTCCATATTCAGGATGTTGCATGTGCCCCTGAAAACCATCACATTGTTTTGCTTTAATGTTTGGGCACCTTGTTGTACAAAGATAGATAATTTTGTTTATGCATTGTTTTTAGCTGTGCAATGTTTTAAAGTGAACTCATGTTCAAAAGGTGGCACTTTTGATAGGGCTGTGAAGCGTCATTTTTAAGGAAGAGTAGTTTTGCTGTATATTTGCAATGGCACTTTCTAAATGTGAATATTTTTTTCAAAGGCCGACTTCAGATGTCTTTCTGTGTTGAAGCAATTTGACTTTTGTATTTATTTTCAAGCTGACATCCCGTAGCTCCCCTCTTCAGCAAATGGCATTAAGAATTCATTTTAACTTTATGTATATGCAGTAAATGAATACAGGAAGCTAGGGATGTTTGCTTTTTTTCCAAGGAATTTTATATGCTTGTCATGTTTCTTCACATTGCTTTTCCTGAGTGTCAGGAACTGGCCACCTTGCTTACTGAGTAGAAGGAGAGTGGTGTCCATCTCTTAAAACATATACTTTGCTTTTTTGTTTGAAGGACAGGGTTTGGGGGGGTTGTGTTGTTTGTGTTTTGGGGTTGGGGGGGGTGTTGGGTTTTTTTTGGTTTTTTTAACAGACTAAATCAGGCTGCCTGGGAGAAATTTCTCCCCTACTAACAGGATAAGAAAGTGGTGCATATATTAGACTTACTAGTTGTTTTTATTTAAAATAGTTCCAAAATACCAGACTTATTAGGAAAGCATTAAGCATACTAACAACTGGTACAGTATACCAATTTACCCTTTGCATAACTGGGGGACAGTGTTGTTGTTAATGCAAAATGTAGCACACTCAGATTGTAGAGGTTTTTATAAGGAAGCAAAAGTTAAAAGCTTCGTGTTTTCAGTCATTCCTGCTCCTCTGAATAATGGGAAAATTTAGGACTTACTTTAATTGAATTTACAGTGGAATTAAAATTAAAGCATCTTTCATTCTTACCTGCATAACAAAAAGGCTGAAGTCAAGAAATTGTGTAGATGTTTCTGTAAAAATATTTATGAAATTGTCAGACAATTCTTGTTACTCTGTACCATTTATGTTACTTTGTATGAAAATATTGCAAGTGTATTTTTCAATAAAGAATTTATAAACTCAGTGTTATATTGTGTGAAAAAAGCATCTTATGTGCAAAGCTAAGAATAGTCTATAGCGCTCAAACACTAGGTTTGACTGCTTAGTGCAAAAGGAAAGTATCAAAGCGATCACAGAGCTGAGGTCCACAAGGTACACGATATACTTGAGATTGCAAGAACTTCAGTCAAACATTGCAATTAATGGTTTAAAAAAAGAAAAGAAAATTGCACTTACCAGTCACACAACAAGGACAAGGCTTTACTCTTGCCCCAGTTTAGTCATTGTGTTTGTTCTAAACGCGTTTCCTCCTGTTGCTCTGCCAGAACGTGGCACCGCGGAGCCCGCAGAGGGTCAGCGCCAAGGACTGCCTTTGCTGGGGTGTCTCTCCAAGCACAGCCAGGGGCTGGTGGTGCTGCTCCTCTTCGCAGAGGAGGCAGGCTGGCAGGGCTATGCAGCAGAAGAGGAGCCTAGAACAAAAGCAAGCCGGTCTGTCTGCCTTGCAGGAGCTTTAATACAAGATTGCACATTTTAATCCAATGAAAGCAGAATTATTTTCATACATACTAGGCTATGTACTCGTGTTTGAACTAAGTTAGGGAACTAACTAAGAATTCTTAGTTAAGTTGTTAAGAACTGTTTTGGCCACTGGCAGCCAACTACTGCATTTTTACACCTAAGTATGTACCATTTTTCCCCTGTATATTTAGCTAGTGGCCCTGGCAACTAAGCTTCAACAGCTTCTGTTCCTATCCTTTCTGAAACCAAATTGTTTAGGAACCCTCAGCTGTAAATAATAAGAGGTACAATTTGTAGTTTATGTTTTGAAACAAGTGCTAGAAAAGCTACTTCAACAGAGGTGTTCCAAAGAAAAAACAACAACAAAAAAAACCAAAAAACCTAGCATGTAAAAACTATTTTAAAAAAAATAAATTCTCAAGTAGCTTCAGAATATTTATTTCAAGACTTAGAACAGAACAGTTTGCTTGGAAAGGACCTACAACAATCATCTAGTCCAACTACAAACTTAACTGTTTAAGACTGCTGGCATAACTTCTATTTTTCTTTCAGAAATATTTTTTACAGAGTTGAGAATTGCAAAGACGATAGTCAACTTAAATTTACTTTTTCATTAAATGATATACTTGTACTAGGAAAGATGACTATAATCAGGAGAAAAGGATTTTATTTCAATGGTATTGTTTCAGTACTCATTCACCTACCTTGTTCCTGGAACAGCTGCTTTTAACACAAATATCCAATTACAGAAAGATATAGTTAGTGTTTTCTCCCCTTTCTCAATCTAATAAAAAAAGTTTCAGATTATCCATTCTAAACTAAACAAAAATCCACATTCTTTAAATTAAAAAAAAAAAAGTATTTTCTTTTCAGGAACCTGCTATTAGCATGGATTTAGCTTAGAGCAATCCAACCTACTCACCACACCTACAGAGGTCTGTAACAGCTCAAAAGTAAAGAAAATTTACTCAAATAACCATCATTTTTACTTCATTCTATCATTCTTCCTTGTCATTGTTTTTACTAACTGTGGTGTTTTCTAAACCCCAGCAGCAATCAGACAAATAAAACAACAGCAGCAGCCGCCACACCTCTGAACTGACATTAGTTAACACTCACCAGGATTTGCTCCCTATTGAACTCTGCCCCCACCCCGCACCATCAATAGGTGTGGGGACACCGTCCCTTTTCGGCTTTGTACAGCAGTAGGAATTAAGTCCTGCATCGACCCTGCTGCAGCTGAGATGAGAGAGCATCCCAAAATTAGAAGGGATTAAACTTCTACGCAAGTCCTTCACCTAAGTGGCTTAGGAAATTTGCAAGTCAGTGATTTATTACAAAGGCTTCTGAGTAATCTAAAAAAAAAAAAAAAAAAAAAAAAAAAAAAAAAAAAAAAAAAAAAAGGACTCACATTCCAGTTTAACACTCGTAGTTCTGCCTCCCTGCCCAGCTGGTACAGCGTGCTCAGTCACAAAGCCAGGCCCATCTTCTGCGGCGCACTAAGAGTCCTTTAACTAAACTTTTCTAATGCTAAATCTGAAGCAGCATTTAAATTTCAATTTCAGCCTTCCCAAGAAAAGTGTAAGGGAAATAACTGAGGCAACAGAAGTAATGTTCACAGTATTTTAGTAGCTACACACTAGGCCAGCACACTAGCCCTCAAAAACTTTTCCCACATGCTTTCCCTGAAAAAAACATGGCACCACTTTCCAGGCAATACAAGCTCAGCTTTCAGATCAGTTCCTCCCTTTCTGTTTTCTATCATAAATTCAAACAGGCATTTGACAATTCCAACGCACTTGCAATTCCTTATAACCTGCCAGATGCCTGAAATACGCAGGCTAACAGGGGCATTAATGCCACACAGAAGAGAAAGCTGACCAAGGTAAGCGACACAGAGCCATCTCTTTTTCCTTTGTACCAGGTTAGAAGGAAGGTGGCTGCTTTTCTTACAAGTTTTTACAAGTCCAACACTGTGTTAAAGCTCACTTCAGCTACGCTGTACCCCATTCTAGAGACTTCCCTAGCAGAAAAGGGCTGCTCAACAGCAGGGTCATGCTGGACTAAAACCATATATTTGTTAGAAAGGTTAACAACCAGTGGCACATGATACAGAAGATGGAGTGAAATTGAACAAATGCATATTTAGGATTATCAGAAATCTGTTCCCTTGAATGCAAATAACAGCCAGAAACACTACAAAGGATTATTTTTTTTTAAGTAGCAAGTCAGCTGCATAAGAATCAAGAAAAAGGTAAGAGAGCAACAAAAGAAACATCTTCCAAGTATTAATCTAGCAATCAAGCAGTTGTCAGCCACCCCACAATCCCAGAAATATTTTGATTTAAGCACAAGACATTGGCTGTGGCTGCTGCAAATGTTCCTCCATGTGTTGTGCCACACACCTACCCCCTTTCCATGGGCATAAAAGTGCTGGGGAAGGTGCAAGCTGGATGTGAACTACTTCCTGCCCATACCCTTCCTAACAACACAAATTACAAGGCACAGCATTAAATAAGAGATATTAAGAAAGATATCGAAAAGCATTGGAGGGGTCTAAACCAGAGTGAGAAAACAACTGAACTCCTGCCCAAGCTACGCAGAGAAAGGCCATTCCCCACACACACTGCCTTCAGGTCTGCAAAGCTGCAAGCATGAAAAAAAGCAAAATATGCCCAAGAACCTAAGCACACTCTTGAGAACAAAAGCGTCTTCGGACAGTTCCCTTCAACCCTGGCCTTTGTGCACAAGCACTCGAGGCCTTGGCTTCTACAAGATGGCATTCAGCAGCCCTTGCTTCTACTGAGTATTTCAGAAGTAGTTGAGGCAGAAAACAATTGAAGTCCCACACTACAGCCACTGTTACAGCCCTGCCCTGCACTAGCTACGAGCCTTCTTTCTGGTACAAGAGGAGGTAGGCTGAGCAAGACACCAACTCCCCCACTACCACCTCCCTCCCTCCCTCCCTCCCTCTCAAAGGAGGGGATCAGCAGCGAGATCACTCACCCTTTTCCATGGGGGCTGGACGTGGTCTTCAACCTCTTCAGCAAAGATCCCAGGGAGAAACGAACACATCCATGCCGGGAGATGAAGCCAGGAGCTCTCTGGAGAGCTGTGTGGGGCTCACGAAGCTGCACACAGCCACACTGGCCCAGGAGATGCCACAGGTGCTGCCAGCACACACTTACCATGCCATCTCAGGCAACACATTGCACCCCAGAGTGGGCACTCGCAGCCCCCCGGCCCACAGGATTTCCCTCTCACTGACGGAGGCGGGCCAGACAGCTTCTGTGGTTGGCAATACACAGTAGGAATGACATTCTTTGCTTTGAAAGACTGAAAAATTAGGTTTCAACCCCGTATGTTACACTGACAGTAGTTTCCTGAAGATCACTGAATCAGCACTGGAGCAAAGAAATGTTATTTGCCCAGTTATTCGTTCCTTTTGCTCACACAGGAGGAAAACCACATGCACGCATGTACATGCACACACACTCTCACACTCTCTAACACTGTTACTCACTAGCTTTTCAAGAAACAGCTGTGGCACTAAGCAACTGCTCCAGAAGGCTTGCGCTTCCTTTTACTTTCCCATGGTGGGTATAGAAGAGAGGGAAGGACAGAAAGTCTTTCTGTGCATGTCATCACACAACTGACAACAGGAACAGCAGAGGGAATTGCTTGCTTTCTTCCAAGATCCACAGGTTTTTCCTTCTTTTCTATACTGATAGATGTATAAAATTATAAAAGGCTTACAGCTATCTGCCATCCAAGTCCTGTTCTCACAAAATAACTGACTTTAGCACGCAAGATAAAGAATGCAAAAACAATTAGAAAAAACATCTTTAAATAAAGAGGTAGAATGTTCCTACTACAGGAAAGAGTACACAAACCAAAGTGCCGATTCAGAATTTTGCACTCTCCTCAAAGTTTTCGAACTGAAGACAGGACTTAACAGTTTATTTATGTAACATGTTTTTTCAAAAAAACGTAAGAGCAAAGTTCTTGCAAGTCCTAAGCCTTCTCACACTCTTTCCTTCCAAAGCGGTAAGAACGGGAGAAAAGAGAAGCCACCACAAAAATCTCAAATCCCATTATTTGCATAGGTTTATTTCAAGGTTTGGAGTTGAATGTTTTGCTCCAACAAGCCATCACTACCAGCAAGAAAGCAACATTTCATTTGATGTTATCTTGTTGATGCTGGTTTCTAGTGTCGCTGCAGAAACAGATATAGTGCTTTTCCTAACAGTAGCCACTGTTTCAAGACTCAAACAGCAAAACATCCTACACAAAGTCTGTTGGCTTCGCTCTAGTTACTGATATATCAAAGCACTAGATTGGCAATACCAATGTAAGTGGAAATACACAGAATTATTCTAGTATTGACTTTGCAATTGTCTAAAAACATATCAGCAGCCACCTTCAGAGGGCCACTAAAGACTGCAGATTTGCTCTAGATTTCCCTATCCATTTTTAAATACCACTGCCTTAACACATCATCTTCTCAGCCTCATAACAAAGTTGGATTGAGCTCTGAGCTAGAAACAGATTTGTGTTGAAAATAGTAGAAACTGAGTTTACTCTGAGTTAACTGCCCTACAAAGTCATACCAAGTCACAGACATCTCACCCTATGATTGACTCAATCTTGGCAAAAATGTCCTTTAGGAAGATCTGTACTCAACTACCACTATTGATACAGTTTACCATAAAAAAACCCAGTGCATTTAAAGCCATTAAATATGTTTAAATCTGCTGTACTAATTCACATGACCAGGGCCTGCCAGAGCCTTCTGTTTACATAGGCCCATACCTCACATATACAGAGTTAGCAAGAGCTTTCAGAGAGCTGAAGACAATAGTTCAGTTGCAAATACCCTGTTCAGAAGCACCTGCTTGGTAATTTATGCTTAGAATTCTTCTTACTTTAACCTCAAATTTCTTCAGGAAGGAGCCACTCTCAATTGTATTTCTCTTATTACACTGACTATAAATGGATATACTAAGGTTTAGAAAGCACATTTTAGCATTTAGTCAAGAACACAGGTCCTGTAACAGGCACTTTATAAGATGAGGGCGGTTAAAGAAGAAAGAGTAGCCCCAAGAAATGCACCTTTGGATGCACTTCCTCCTCTGCCTTAAAGAGGATCCTTGCTTTCCACATATCCTCTGTCTAAAGAGGAATTCCAGCAGTACTACAGACACTCCAGGCAGCCCCAGGAAACCTTGCATCTCAAAGGCAGAAGCTTTAAAAGGTCTAAAGCAACATCATGCGGTAAGATTTCAACATTAGCTAAAACAGAGTAAGTACCTAATTTAAACAATGTTAAGTGCTGCATAGAAATGACTTGAGTCATCCTTAACCGTACATTAAATTAATCATTTGGTATATGACAGCATATTACTTGTGAAGTCTTTGTCTACTTCCTTAAGAGCCAAGAAGTTGTTCTCAAAGGGAACAGGGAAAGGTTGTTATATGACAAGTGCATTTAGCTTGTCAGATAAAAACAAAAGACAAAAAAAACCACAAAAACCAAAGCACACACCGGCACCACTCCCCACCCTCCCCAAACACCACATCACATTCATATATGAAGTCACTGCTACTTGTTACTAGACAGTAGGGTTTCCATTAATGCCATCAGTACAGGTATGAGGAGCCAAAGAAAAAGCAGCCCAGCTGTAAAGGGTTAACATTACAGGTTTCGATAGGAAAATCCTGTTAGGCAAGAATAAGGCATTCTGCTAGACTCTTGTGAAAAGTAAAAGATTCTGTCCTGAGCTCACACATGCTTTAGAAAGGTTTTCCTGTATGTGGAACAAAACTGTATTTAACCAGTCTCTTCAGTATGTAACATCCTGTTATCCCGTTAACATCCTGAATACGCATGCAGGCAAGTACATATGTAGTCAGATGCTTCCATTCCGCTTCCAGTCTTTGCTAAATGTCTACAGTATAGACAGACAGAGGGACAAAAGCTAGATCATGGTTTCTTTTTATTTTAAGATGTCACTATTAACACACATTAGTCAAGCTATCCTATGTAATCCCCTAGACACCTAGGGAATCTAAAATCCTCTTAAGATTTTATTAGATCAAGAGACCACCATTAAAAGCTTTGATTTTAGTGTTTATGTAATAAAAGTCTAATAAGCCTGACACTCTGCTTTCACCCTGTCAGACTAATGTGCGCTTTAGTGACGATATCATTTTACAAATCAATAATACATAATACATCATCCCCAGCTTTACCTCTGGAAAGTGCTAAATGGAGTCAGTGAACCATCTATTTACAATTTCAAATCCTAATATATTTACAATAGAAACCAAAAGTATTTAAAACCATTAAATATAGTGTTTAACTCTGCTATATTAGTTTACATGAACACAGCTTATCTCTGGCGTCGTATCTCCAATGCTAATATTTCTGCCAGTAATTTAAGATTTTTTAAAAAATTGCTATTCCTGGAGGGAAAAAAATAAAAGCTTAAAAACCAACCCAAAACCTCCAGGCATTTCAGAGCCCTGAGGAATTACCCACCCTAGACAGTCTTCAGGTAAAAGTACTGCAGTGTTCAAGAGAGACTTCCAAACTCCAGGCAAGCCTTTAAAACCTAATGCATATGTAAAACATTAAGAGTCAGTAATCCACTGAACAGGTTTACTGGAGTCACTGCTACCATTCAGTTTTTACTAATCCATAGTCAAGAAGGAAACTGCTGCTTTGCTGTTTCTCCCTCCATTACATTCCCTCCACCCACAGAAAGTGTTTTGTGCACCATCATCCAGAAGAGCTAAGTAGGCATCATCTTCTCTTCTTTGCTGAAAGGCTGAACTGAGCCAGGCTTTACCCATGACAGGCCAGAAACATGCATACTTTTGCAGTGCTGATCTTCTGGCTTCTTCTAGGTAGAAGAAAGTCAGAATTATTAGACACCCCAAACCCTCTTAAGTCCCTCCCCATCCGTTTTACCTTTGGCAACCACAAGCATAAAAGAGGCTAGCATCATTTCCTCTCCTCAAAGAGGAACATGGCTATTGGTTTAACTCCTGTGAATGTGTGTGGCATCTGTAGAACTACCCCGACATTACAGGAGAGTTTAAATGACTTAGTTCATGTACTGCTACCCTATCATACTACAGAGATTAAGAGATAGTCTTTGAACAGTGCCTTTTGCTTGAAGGCCGTGGCCCAGCACCACTGCACTGCTATTTGCCAAATTTCTTGGTTCTACAGAAAGAAGTGTCAATCCAAATCAAAACATTTGTCATTAACTTGACATTGTAATGGTAGCCTACTACCTTGCGATGCTGGGCATACTGTGGAAGAGTACTCCAACCCACTGAAGGCTTCTGAACGCAAATTAACATGGCAAAGTAGCAGCTGATACCTTTGCTATACCACAGAGCTTCTTAATGCTTTCCAAGGATGGTCCTTCTCTTCCCTGAGCATTTATCATGGTTAAATGCTTGAACAATAACTATTTCTACCAAACACAATGCAATGAACATTTGAGACTGACTATTGCAATTTAGAAGACAAAAAAAAAAGCTTCAAGTTGAAGGAGAAAGATGCAACTTCAAGCATCTGTAGATTTAAAGTAGTTTAAGATGATTAGTAAATTAGATACCTACTCTAGCAGGTCAAAGAAACAGAATAGCTTGCAGGGTTTGTTTTTGCATACCAGGAACTAGCCCTGCCTCCACACTGCTATAGGCTCATCAGATCATCTGTATGCCAACTACATCAAACCTGGAATGACGCATCAAGTTCCAGAAAGCGATAATTATGTAAGTAGACTTTGTCATACTACAGGAAGCCTTTTGCCTGACAAAGTAAATTAAGTCAGCAAGAAAACAGAACCTGCACTTCCTCTGTCCCTCCCCATGTTTTGTGTAAAAGGTGACACTATGTGACAGAATTGCCGTAACGCATCAGACAACAGCAAACGAGGGATCAGTTAAGCTCGAGTCTGGCAGAGTAGCTGGCACCTGCCTATCGCATGCCACACACAGGACATCATCTAGCAAAAGCCATGTGCTCAGCAGGGAACTGGGACATCACAGCCTTTCCTGGGCTACAGTTCTAGAATAGCCAGGTTGTTTCCCAAGGCACAGGAATTACACAGGTAATAAACAAGGACCCAGGGTTGCAGAAAAAGGGAAAGACAGGATACAGGATTAAGGAACTTCCTTTTTCTGGGAGGGAAGAGAATGTTCTCAGCTACACTGATATTTTGGAACAAATCTCCTAAGGCACAGAAGTTGGGCCATACCTGCTATCAACAAAGTACTCAAGTGACTAAAGTACCACACGTGCAATAGTTACTGAAGATGTCACTTTTTGCTTAAAAATAAATTAACATGCATCCCCAAAGAAAAAGGATGAAAGAAAAAGCATTGTTTGCTATAAGTCTCTGAGACAGCATCATACCCTTTCCATTTCAAGCACCTCAACCTGTTCTTTCTTAGGTCTTTGATTTAAAGGGTAAGAAAGAAGGAAGTAGAGAATGAAGGACAGGGGAAGAGTCAAAAGTATTTCTCAAGTTTTTAGAAGAACATCAAGAAGTCAGAATCTGATCAAAATATTTTCCTGTGTGTTCTAAGGCTGGAGAAAAGCCACCTCACCTCAAGCCCTGCTGTGACTCTGGCTGTTAGGAACATTGCTACACTGAGCTTACAGGCAGCATATTGTATTAAGATCAATGTAAAAATCTCATTCATGGCAGAAGACAGGAAGAACACGAGTTAAAGCTTGCAGCAAGGAAGACTGAAGTTTGGACTGACAAAAAAACCCAAACATTTTTTATTACTAAAAAAGCAGCAAACACCACCACAGCTCTAGTGCAAGGAGCCCAAGTCAGTAACTAAAACATTCAGAGTGTTTTTCCTTGACAGTCCAGCAAAAATACCAGCCACCATTTCAGAATCCCTAGGCACTGCAAGCAGAGTTACTTGTCATGCCACTCAGTGCAGACTCAGAATTGCTGTGTGCCAGCTCTTTAAGTGCAAAGAAATAATAAATAAATAAATAACCCAACCAAAACCAAAAAACAAAGCGCACCCCGTTCCCCAAAACCAAATGTGTTGCTCAGGTGAAAGCTGTATGAGCCAAAACATTCTTGCTATATCAGTAAGAGTGCTTTGTGACAGAAGTAACTCTATGCACTCTTCAATTAGCTGATATTGTCTTATTAGAACTCAGTATTGTTAGAGATGTAAGCAAGGTACTCTGCCTGTGCTGCTTCAAAAAGTCTGGAATGAGAAGAAAGCCCTGAAGCTTTGATTCAATAATGAAAGATCTCTCAACAGAAGAGAACAAAGAAGTTGGGGACTGTCAGGTTATGCAGAAGTGGTAACGACCATGACAAGTGCAGGACAAGCTAATAGGCAGTCAGCAAATCTCTTCCTTCCCCTCTTTCCTTCCCTTCCACCCCTAAACAAAAAAATCTGCCAAGTGTGCCAACAGTTGTACTAACAAAGCTTTCTAGCTGGCTAAATGATTAATTGCTTAACACACTGAAGTTAGAACTGTGACATAACTGCTTAGTTAGGAGACCAAATCAGTTTCAGCACGCCTGCTGATCCAAAAGAGGGGTGGAATAAGGTTTGTCTAGTACACATTCATCACAGAGACAGAGAACCTTTCTTCCCTTATCAGGCAATAAACCCACACTACAGTGAGAATCTGGACTTTGCACATACCTTCTGAGTCAACATCTTCTCTCTAGCTTCATCATGTATAGCTGGATTCCATGGAGAAAAACTATGGAGAAAGTATAGTTACCTCTTACTTCACATTTTTGCAAACTACAGCTTAGAGCAGAAAGCAGCAATTTTCCTTGGTTTCGTTCGCTGAATTTCAAGTAAACTACAATTCTGAGTTTTCAATGTTAAAACATACAGTTAAGAACTGAATTCACATTGTCATGGATCTTTTCAACAAGAAGTACTTAGGTTTTCATTTTTGTTTTCAGTGAGAACTGGCAATTCAGCAGGTACTACATGAAACACTACTCATATTCCCTATGGTGCTGACTGCTCCATTCCCTATGCAGTCAAGCTTAAAAGCATTTTAAAAGTGTGACCAAAGCTATAGTCATGCAAACTATGTTCAGGAAAGTCCAAAAGCAGTATTTACTCCATGGGTATCTCTACTTGAGGAACATGAAGTGATTTGGAGCTTTTGTTTGTTTGTTTTGGGGTTTGTTTGTTTGAGGTTTTGTTGAGATTTTTTTAAGTCTTGGTTGCTTAGTGAACAAACAGTAAACACAAGTGTCTGATTATATTTAGGATTCACTCAATAGTAAACAGAAGGAAATGAGGGTAGGAATATTCAAAGTAATGCTATAAATGTAAGAAAGAAAAAAAAAAAAAAAAAAAGTCAGTCAGCTTGGCAGAGAAAGGCTTCAAATCAACAACTATACCAAAACTTGTACTTGAAACATTAGGACATGGTGAATATGCTCATGGTACTTACATGATTGCATAGGGATCCTCTATTTTGGGCTGATCAAATAAATGACTGCTGCATAGTTTGACACTATCCACTACTTTACTTTTGAACAGCTGAATATCTTTTTCATAACTGCAAGAGAGAAGTAAGTAATGTTAAGTAATTGCAAGGAGGTACAGGTTTGCTTTAGAAGCATGGACAGACTTGGCAAAGCCTCAGCTTTAGTTGCTAGTGCAATCAACTCTGGCAGTAGAGACCATGAACCGATAAACAATTTTACAAACCTCTTGTTTCTGCAAGTCTATGCAAAAACGTCTTAAGAGACCATATCTATACACATGGAAGATACTTACAGCACTGCAGCCTCAGGATTCAGAGGAGTAGTTGTATCAATCTTGTAGAAGACTCTGCGAGCATACATTAATACTTGCCATATGTGATTATGATTTCGCCTAAAGAGAACAAAACACAAATGAAGAAAGGAACAAAATTCTTTCAAATTATACATCAATATGTTACCACTAACCTCCATTTTGCAAATGCTCTTTTCACATCCAGTTCACCAGATAAAGGATCTACTAGTGGATGGAAGACAGGCAGATCAAAAACCAAGCGCTGCATTAGAAAAAAGAAATTCATTATGACAACTTCAATACTAATGCTAAAACCACTGGGTGAAGGTCACTCAAGATGTTGCTTCCAAATACTAATTAATTGTTACTGTATTAAAAGAAAGCAACCTGAAGTGCTTTATACCATCTGTGAAACTGTAACCCAACACACCCATGTTACATGCAGGGTCCTGTCCTCTCTCACATGCTTATCACCAAATCAGGAAACTAATCCAGCTAACCACACAGGCACTAGTGCCAACACAGGTAATATCAGATAAAATCAGATTAAAGGAGTTTTTCTGGTTTAGCTATGTGTGACTGAAAGCTTTTTACATACTTGAGCTACAATCAATACTACTTTTATCCTACATATTTTTAAGTAAACTGTGCAGTGACACCACGGTGTCTTCAGTTCTGTACAGCCAGCTTCCTCTGGTATTTGTGCATTCTTCCAAAAGAAAACTTAGTTTCAAAAGGAAGGTTTTAAAGCCCTATGGTAGCAATAGAATGATGGCTGTATGAGAGACACTGAAGTCTAATCTTTGAAAGAAACTGTTTCCTACTGGCTCTGTCCTTTTAAAGATGATGGCTTTGCACAAATTTGACACCAGGCAGACAGCTTCCTGACATAGCAACTTGTTCTCAGCTACAGCAGTTACATATGCCTGTCCCTCAATCTTCCTCTTACAGAAATTTGGCCAAGAGGACCAGCTGCTCTGCTCTGGAGAGTCAGACTGCCACAAGATTTTTTTTAAATTTTATTTTTATATTTTAATTGATGTAATAACTTGGATACTTTTCCCTAAAGAGAAAAAGAGAAATCAGAGATGGAAGGTAACACTGTACTATCTATCTCCTACTGCCTTTTTTTCACCAACATTCTCCTCAACTTCTTGTTGTTCTTTGTTTCAATGTAATTTAGAAGAGAGACAGGCAAGAAATCCTGCAATACTAGAAGCAAACACAGCACAGGTGCCTGGAATTTATGTTCCATTATATCACTACTCAGAATTTGCATACTACTTTAAGTGTTTCAGTGTTGACTTCCTTGCCGAGGAAGTAGCAGATCAAGAGTTGAGGTAAAGAATTGCTTGATTACTTCATACTCTAATGCATCTAACCTCAGGAAGTTCACTGTACACCAGCCTTAGTAATCAGAGTAACTTAATTCCTCCACAGATGTTAGGAAATATGTACAAGACATTGCAAATGAGCCCAGCCAACTGAACAAAACTAGTTCATGGAAATGAGAAGCTAACTGGTATATTAGCTTTAATAAAAAGTCATACTTAAAACACCAGAAAACAAGAAAAACCCAAGATACACACAACCACTTACCGGGCAGTCTCCATCTGGGTAATTATCAGGAATATAGACAGTAAATTTAAACACACCATCCTGGTACAGCCCATGTCTTATGAATATTACACCAAACCACACTGCAAGTGAAAAAGTTTGCTTGAGTGAAAGAATTTAAAAATATATATATGTAAAAAAACTTTAAAAGTTAGGTTTAAACTTACTTAATGCTGATCGGTAAGATGGCTGCACGTAGACACCTGGCAGTTTCTGCTTTACAACCAAGGTACTGCAATGAGAATCAGCATTTAGGATAGCTCCACAACCACACTAAATCTACAGCAAGCTGACAACAGTAAACCCAGAATGTACTACCAACAGCTTAACAGGGGACTTCTTCCACAAACTTACACGCAATTCCCAAGGTCAGATTGCTCACAGAAGGAGGTGGCAGAAAACTAGTGAAACCATATTTTTTCACTCTTTGTTTTTCCTACCCCTCCACTTGAAGAGTTACTAACAGGAAACATTATTCCTCCTGATAAAACTGTAAGTAGAGAAGTAGAAATAAATTCTTCCCCCAGTACATGCATTTAACACGTCATTACTGAAATTTCCATTTTTCTACTGAATCCCCAGTTTCAAAGTAAAGAAGAAAAAAAGAAATGCAATTAAGTAATTTTGAATGCAGATTTGCAGTCAATTGTAGAAAATTTTGAAATGTTTAAAATTGAAGTTAAAGTTTGGTCACAAGTAGTTTTTCAGTTTTAGATGAGACTATGCTGCAGGTCAAACAGGAATTACTGACAAAAAGTAACAGAAAATAAAAAGGACAGTCAAGAAGCAGGGTATATTCGAGATCTGGATCGAGTGATTCCAGGCATCTCATTAGCAGGATGGACCAAGTAATTTTCCCAAACTTGCACTTATTTGCTATTTCACTTCTTGAGATAATAATCCAGTCACGATCTTCAGTCACCAACGACCAGTGCATTATGAAAAGAGTTTCTACATCTCCTTTTGCTTTTTAGGAAAGTCCATTTGATAATCAACATTACTACAGGGGAAAAAATGTGCTATTTTTACTAGTTTTCAAATCAAGGAGCACAAGTAGTTGCTAGTAAGTTTAACCAACTGTAGTTGTATGGTATGCAGATTCTACTGAACACTATAAATGATAAACCAAATTATTCACTTCACAGGTTTTCCAGTTACTTGGCATATAGGTCCATTAAATTGAACTCTGCATGCTTGTACAAATAAACCATAATCTTAAAGCAGAATATTAACACAGTCCTGTGCTTATGATCTTCATAAAATTCATTATTATTTCCCTAATAATAAATTTGTTAAACTAGAGGAGTTTACATTATGATACCAATATATTTTTGCATGCTGCAGAAGAAAAACATCTTTCTTGAATTAAGAAGTCAGGGTCAGTTCCCTGAAAAAAAAAAAAAATTACTGTTTTGAGAGTTCTCACTTTCAATTTAATGGTTAAATGCAAGAACTGAGACTTAGCATTGCATAAGGACTCCAGGGATTTCATTCCAAAAGACATACTACATACTTGAGAATCCAGTATGTCTGTTACGGAGGAAGTCCCTTCAGCTTTGTAGCACAGAACAGTTTACGTAACTGGAAAGTTTTGCAGACAAATAGAGATTTCTATGCTCACACAGCAGTCTACAAATCACTAGACTGGATCAAATGCAACTGATCTGAAGAAAGTTATTTAAATTGCGCTAACTCCTCCCTCATAAGTTTCACATTAAATATCACTGAAAGACAGGAAAGAATATAGTCTTCCTAATATCCATTTAATAAGCCATATCAGACAGCGTTCAAGTGTTCCATGTAACAACTGAAGGAAGCTCCCACATCCTAACTCCATTAGACAGTGCCATATATTCATAACCATCTTCCCACTAAACATCTGCTTGCTTCTATTTTAATACTTGTTTGAAAAATTCGGTATTTCTGACCAAAAAGCTGTTAGGATAACTGGTCAGGATGCCTAAACCCAAAATGTGTTTACTTCAAGACTGAGAAATATAATAATTCAGAGAATCACATCTAAACACGTCCCTTTAAATCTCATCTCATCTTCCTCTCCCCTTCTACCTCAAGAGATTGAGACTGCTGCTCCAGAAAAAGAATTTTGTAGAACTTAAGTTTTACTGCCTTCTTCAAGGACTATGGGAGAGACACCAGGTAAGAACTAGATCCCTGCATGGTTTTTTACCACTGAAGCATAAGCCCAGTGACCTAAAAAAGACACAAAAAGTGAAAACCTACAACTCTGCAAGGAGGGAATACTCCAAATAAAAAGGCCCATAAGAAGCATGTGTTCCATTTGTCGACTGGGATGACATGGCAGGTGAAGCAGGCTTGGTTATTGGCACAGCATTCTTTGGAATAGAAGGCAACTGTTTCTTTGTAGAGGCTCGTAGAGGACTGGTTCGCAGCTCTCCACTCAAAGTTTTCTCTTCAGCATCGGGTCTCTGTTAGATTCAAAGAGAACCGTGAGATTACAGGCTGTATTTCATAAACATTTAACACATGAACATATTTTAACACAGGTTTAAACCCAACCTTGTTAATTACAAGTTTGGCCAATGAAACATATCTTGGGTTTTGGTGTTCTACTGCTTGGGGTTGGTTTTTAAATAGACTTTTATTCACTCAAACCTAGTCTACAAGTACAAGAATAATCAATGCTGGACAGGAAATCTGCAGATTAGGACAAATACTTAAGGAGGCTTACATTTATTTAGAAACTGGAATCACATAGTATATAACATCAGCTTAGAAGTCAATCTATTTCTAGCACACAATGCATCAAAATAAATCATTTCTACTGACAAGCATCCTCGCGTTCTAGACTTCAAAGAGTCTTTAAAAGTAGTGTAGTAAAGCTGGGATGAAATAAGAACTTTTTACAGAAAATTTCATGTGTTTCACTTCCTGCCTGTGCTCAAGACACCAACATCCCACTTGGAACTGATCACATAGCCCACTCCCACTGTGAGACAATCACCATTTGACAGTAATATCAAGTTTAAATAGTTTTGCTATAGCAATCTTTTTATGCCTATGCTGTCTTGTATTAAAAAAGAAAAAAACAAAAACAAACAAAAAACCTTTTCTACTTAACTGGTCACTGCTACACTGCTAGCGAACATTTTACTACATACAGACTGCAAAATCATTCTATAGATTGCCAAGACAAACCTGCAGGCTATAGACTTCTGATTAGGCTAGTTGCAGTGACTAGAGGCATGATTTAGGCTATAGTGTTTTGAAGTGCTTGAGACTTGGACTAGTAACAATACCTATGTCATAAGCATTATCAACAAAGTTATATAATTTGCCCTAGCAAAATTATATAACTCACTTGAGAAGTGATTAACCCTAGAACTACCATGCTTTCATCGTTGCTACAATCTGAAGTAGCAATAGTATTATGGAGGCAGAGTTTTGTCAACACTCACTGCACATCCAATACCTGGCTAAGCTCTATGAAAGACAGTAAACAAATGTGTTAAGAAACAAGTGTTTCAACCGTTTGAACAAGTTTGTTTCACCTTTCCTACTTAAAGATGCTTCAGATAAGAAAAGTCAACAAATTCTGGAGTAGACTCCATCCACAGGCAACTCCATCCAGTTAATACAGCTCAAAGCTAGCTTACACTTTTATTGAAGAGGATCACAATCCTCAGAATAAAACACACACTCCAACTGTATTTGTGTATCATCTGATGGTCTCTTCCAGAACTGCTACCACCCCTCAAGGCACGTTAACACCTTATGGCACCTACTCATTAAATACCTTGCGCACAGAACTTGTAGACATACTCCAGAAAGGGTTCATAACGTGTATTCCAAACAAATGACTGGAACTTTTCAGTGTCTTCAGAGTGTCCTCAGGCCTCTCTGGTTTATACCCTAAAAATACACATAACAAATATGCATTCTAACAGATAACAGCACTCAATATATAAATAGGATTCAGGTCTAATTCTGCAGCCAGCTTTATATTTCTGTAACTTCAAAGGCAAACTTCTTGTAGTTAAGACTGACAATAGTTAAAATTGCCAAAACTCTAATATATATTAGACTCCAGGACAATACTACAGTTGTCTATGAAGTAATTTTTGCACAGGAATCCCTGCCTTCTTTCTGCTAGAAAGATACTCTAGATTCTGCATTCCATGTTTTGTCTTGCCAACTGGAAAAAAAACCCATCTATTGCATCAGCACAGTCAAGAAAGATCCTCTACACATGCAAATATTAAAAAGTTATCACTTCACCACTTCAGTCCAGCACCAGACAGTACTACAATGGCTTACTCTCGTAGCACAGTTAAGTGTTGTCTCTCACATACACTGCTGACTTCGCATGTTTCTGAAGCACTCCAGTTTGAAAAAATCTCTGCCATTCCTGGTGAAAGAGATGATCCTCCCATTGAGTTTGCATCAAGTATGTGTCATTTTGTTTTCATCTGCACTGGAACACCACCAGGAATAGACAAAGCCACAGAACACAGAAGTTTTTCTGTAACTTATTTAATGGTTTCATTATGAGCACTAAGGCTTAGTGCTCTTTAGATCAGCAGTTCAGTAACAAGGACTTCAGCAGTATTTAGAGTTTCAGTGTCATCTACTGTAGATGTCCTCATTTTTCCCTCTCTCTAGTTTGTTGTTTGTTTTTTTAAAAAAAAGGTTTGCTATTGTTTGTGCAAGAACTCTCATCTACAGCACCTCTTGTCTGGCACAGCCTATTTCCTCCACTCTTGCTCCCCCCCCCCCTTCTCCTAGTTACCATTCCCCTTCCTGCCCCCCCCATTTCTGGCTACATTAACTAAGGTTTTGAGACAATTCACTTTACTCAATTTCTTTAATAGGAAGTTGTACAACATTGACCAAGGCAATTCAGAGGATGCAAGAGAAACAGAGAAAATGGCACAGGCTTCTATTGTGATCAACAATAATTTTTTCTATAGTAAGCAAGGCACCACCTCTTCAGCCATTGTTTTGACTAGTTTATAGAGAAAAAGGTAACATTATGTTCAAAAATCTCCCTAAAAGGAAAATAAATGCCAATTTTGTTAAAAGAAAAAAAAAAAGCCAGATAATTTATCCAAAGAAAGTCTAGCAATGGTAAATTTTTAAAAGAAACATTGATATCAAATCATAGGTATCCTTCTAGACTATATAGCAGCCAAGCATTCAAAAATGCAAGCACCATTTAGAAAAGTGATGAAAATTAACTAATTTCTCCACCCCAAAATCTCCTCAAAACATTCCAGTACGCATGATTCCTCCAGATATTTTTCCTCTTCAGCAGCCAGTCTCACATCACTCTGAGCCACTGAAAACAGAAAGTCAAAGCACAGCTACCACACCAGGGCATGCCCTGTGACAACAGGGAGAAAATGTTTTCACTTCTCCCCATCTCCTGTCTGGAAAGCAGAGCCACGCCAGAGGGCTATGCTGCGGGCCTTTTCTCTTCCATGAAACCCAGGCAGACTAAGTAAGACAGCAAGATACTAGGCTAGGAAGGTAGAAGACATTTCCTCGGTAAACTTCAGTGTAACCAGAGGATGGAAGAACTGACGCACAAAGAAAGCACCTGAGTGCTATGGCTTTGACAATAAAGTAAGTGCTGGAAGCTGAGGTACAGGTTGGAAGACAATTAGCTGGAATCTGGAGTGATTACAGGTTTGGGGTGGGATTTTTTTCTTTGTTTGTTTGTTTTGGACTGGTGTTTTTTTAATACTAGGTGATATAAATTGCATTATTCCAGAACCAGAGATATGAGATACAGGAGCTGAGCAGGACAAAAAATGACTTACGTATGTAAAAAACAGCCTAACCTATTAACACTGAAACAGGGAACGGATCTGGAAGCTTGGTAACTGGTGCTAGATGGAATTCAGTCACTGACTCCACCTTTCAGAAAGCAGCTATGCATCTCAGTACACTTCCAGCTTTGTTGAAAAGCTTTTCATTATAGAGACGCCTATTAACAGGCTATTAAGAGCAGTTTATATCTCCAAATACAACATTATTTTAGCTCTAAACTGCAGAATAACTTCCAGAGATTCTCCTGCACAGACATTTTTTATCCTGTTGCTTGCCAGTAATAAGTCATACATGGTGTTGTCCTAAACTTACTGTTTAACTGCCTCCAGTCTCATTCACCTGTTAAAATACTATTTATGATGGAGAACTAATAACCTCAGAGTACCAGCTTCCCAGAGGAGAATCATTTAAAAAGCCTTTCAAGGTGTTCTAGAGTTTGTCTACTTCTGATCACACTCACTCCTAGCTGTGCTATGTGGCAGTGGAGAATAATATCAATATAGAAAACTTATTCGCAACTGCTTATGCTCTGTAGCACCTTCACCTCACAATTTACTACCCCACATTAACCCAAAGAATAATTTAAAAAAAAAAAAAAAATCAATCAAATAACAGCATATTTGAGTTAGACTGTTTATCCTACTTCTCACTATGGTGAAGGTCTGCAGCAGACAGAGAGCCAAATCCCAATATCATTAAGTGGAATTTCTAGGTAGTTTAGTCATTCAATCTTGCACAGGGCTACAGTGCCTACTACAAGGTACCTACCATTATGATACCTTACGTTGCTCTATCTACCAAAACCATCAGCTTCCCACAAGAACCCAATACACTCTCCTCGTTTTACGAAAAAGTAATAAATACATTCAAAATCATCACCCTGTCTCCCTTCCCACTATCATGATTCACAGTGCCTCATCAAAGGAGAAACTAGTGTGCCGCTCAGTAATACGTTCTACTAATTTCCCCTACTTCAAGAATAGAAAGTAACAGCAACCTTCCTAAGCAGACCTCCTCCCATGGGCTTTTTATAGATATCTTTTTCTCTAGTGTTTTTCTTCTACTACAACAGCAATTAAAAAAAGACACAACACAAATTTGTTAAGAAACATTATTTCAAATGCTGCTTCTTGGAAAGGCCTTCTAACTTCTATACAGCACTGCATTACTAAGGTCCTATCACACCTGGACCAAGAAAGCCACCTCCCACCAAGCATAACCTTATGTTGACAGTCACCAGCACTGAGGTACACAATACAGGAGAGCAGTCAGAGCAAGTGTAAACTCATGCAGTACTTCATCATCACTCTAAAATACTTCAAAAAGTTATCACTAATGAAAACCAAAGTTTTAAGTACTTCACTTTTGCACGTTCTCCTTCTCTACACTAGGTACTCTCATTAAAGATTACTTCTATTATTTATACCTACTGTCATACCATGTGTCATATTTCTCTCCTGTCACCAGCAGAGACATTAGATTAAATAAAACACTACTAAACCAATCTGACAAGGACTTCGTCTGCCTGGAACAGAGCACTTTTCCAAGTATTTTCTGGAAACATAAACAATTCCTCAAGAAGAAAATAAAAAAGAATGTGTAGACGAACACATATATAATATAAATTCTTATATATATGTTTTTATGCATTTGATTCCCTACCTAAAAGGGAAGGGAGCCACTCCTACACCTGAGAATAAACAGAGCTGATTAGGCAGGGCACGAGAGAACAGCACATGTTCATCACAACACTATTACACGTTTGTCCAGCAACTGTAACTGTCAGTTTACACCCGAACTTACTTCTCAGCACACCTAACTCCTGATCGTCAAGGAGTTTCTCCAAGTATTTCGCCAGCCCACACCTTAACCTACCGGACAAGGGAGTCGCCGAAGGAAACGCTGGCAGCGAACAGGAACGCTGACTAGTCAAGCCTGTTTGCCAACTCTTCCTCACAGGTGGATTACACCTCTCCTACCGACACCTGCTGCCGCGACTTCCACCCCTCACGCACTTCTCAAGGAAGCCATAACCTACGCCAACGAAACCAGCCCTTTCACAAGGAACAGCTAACAGTTCAAAAGGCGCAAGGGGATGACCTGCCGACTTTCACAGGACAGCTGGGTCTCCCGAGGGGGCTGCCAGCTGGAGGACGGGTGGGTCGCAAGAGGGAAAGAAAACAACCAAAAAAACCCACCCCCAAACCCTCCTAGTTGGGCGAAGTCCCGAGACCCGAGCGGGGCGCAGCCTGCCCCGGCAGTCCCCGGCAGCACTCCACATCGGGGCCACGGCCGCGCCCGGCGACGCCGTTTGAAAAGGCGCGGAGAGGCCCGCCGGGCCCCGGCCCCGGCGGCAGCCGCCCCAGGGC